CTCAACCTCAGTCCATTGGACCTGCACCAAGAGAGCTGTGTTTTTACCAGCCCTGGTTGGCACAGGGATCCCAGGGGCCTCTGCCATTGGGACTGCTGCCCTTGTGAAGGGGGATGTTGACACCAAGACTCTGAGCAAGACCAGGTCCAGGTCAATCCTGGACCAGCAGTGATTGGAGAGAGCCATCACAGATCTTCACACTTAGCTCAACTGCCTGGCTGAAGTTGCCCTCCAAAAACCAGTGCAGCCTGAACCTTCTGTTCTATGCACAAGGAGGACTGTGTGCAGCAGTTGGGGGAGCATATTTTTATGCCAATAAGTCAGGTATCATTAAGGATACTTTACAAAAAGTTAGGGAAGGACTAGACAGATGGGAGAGAGTTTTTTGTTTCTGGTTTTTTTTTTTGACATTCGTGGGGCTTGAACACTGTCCCTGTGCTCGTCAGCTCAAGGCGAGTACTCTACCACTTGAGCCACAGTGCCACTTTCAGTTTTCTAGTAGTTTATTGGAGATAAGAGTTTCATGGACTTTCCTGCCCAGGCTGGCCTTGAATGGCGATCCTCAGATCTCAGCCTCCTGAGTAGTGAGAGTTCTTAAAGAAGTCAGGTATCAAATTGGTAAGAAAGCCTTTTTAACTGGAATGCATGGTTAACATTCTTAATTAGTGGAATTGCTGGATTCATTCTTTGTTTTTTGGTTTTTATTTTTGCCAGTCCTGGGGCTTGAACTTAGGGGCCTGGGCACTGTCCCTGAACTTCTTTGTTCAAGGCTAGTACTCTATCACTTTAGCTACAGTGCCACCCACTTCCAGCCCTTTCTGTTTATGTGGTGCTGAGGAATCCAACCCAGGCTTCATGCATGCTAGGCAAGCGCTCTACCACTAAGCCACATTCTCAGCCCTGGATTTTTTTTTTTTTTTGTCGGTCATGGGGCTTGAACTCTGGGCTTGGGCATTGTCCCTCAGCTCTTCAGCTCAAGGTGAGTGCTCTACCACTTGAGCTACAGCGCCACTTCCGGTTTTCTGGTGGTTTATTGGAGATAGGAGTCTCACGGTCTCTCCTGCCCGGGCTGGCTTTGAACCGTGATCCTCAGGTCTCAGCCTCCTGAGTAGCTAGGATTACAGGCATGAGCCACCAGCGCCCGGCCCCTGGATTAATTTTTATTCTATTTTTTCTCTTCTCCTGCGGCCTCTGCTTTTTTTTTTTTTCTTGCCAGTCTGGGAACTTGAACTCAGGGCCTGAACACTATACCTAATAGCTTCTTTTGCTCATGGCTAGAACTCTACCACTAGAGCCACAATGTCTCTTCTGGCTTTTTCTGATTATGTAGTACTGAGGAATCAAACCCAGGGTTTCATGCATGTTAGTCAAGCACTCTACCACTAACCCACATTTCCAGCCCCAGCCCCTGGTTTTTTAACTTAATAACTAGAATGATTCATACTAGAATGGAAGCTACCAATTGTTTCTACTTAACCACTGATTAGCTGTTGACGAGCAACAATAGTACTTATATCTCAAAATGGCTTGAGTAATTTACTAGAGGAGGAATGAAGTAGACAAAGTTACCTATCTGGGGCAAAGGAACTTTATAGCAACCAGTTGCCAGAATGTGTCCTGGTGGGGCTGTTGCTGGAATGTGGGTTGGGGTCACACTAGGTGGGGCTATCTGAATGGATAGCAGGAAGCCCACAAGGCATTTTTTAATAACACAGACGAGGTAATAACAGGATGTTATGGTTTCTATACAACTAGAAAGGAAGTTGATAGCAGCATCTAGTAAAAAGTTTATAACTGCTCCCCAAACCTTTTTTTTTTTGGCCAAAACTGGGGCTTCGACTCAGGACCTAGGCACTGTCTCTGAGCTTCTTTTGCTCAAGGCTAGCACTCTACCAGTTGAGCCACAACACTACTTCTGGCTTTTCTGTTTCTGTGGTACTGAGGAATTGAACCCAGGGCTTCATGTATGCTAGGCAAACACTCTACCATGAAACCACATTCCCAGACCCGCCCCCCCCAAACCTTTTATATATGTGATTAATGCCTATTTTTATATGTAACTAGTTTGTATAAAAATTCTGAGTCTCCCCTCCCTCAGGATCCCAGCTTCTTTCTGGCACTAGCCTGGTTTGGGTCACCAGCAATAAACTCTTTATCCTCTTTTATAGTGGCCTTGATCTTTGCTGGTCTGTGCTGCCATATACCTGAGCAAGCTTTGAACTGTGACCCTAAGATCTCAGCCTCCTCAGTAGTTAGGATTATAGGCATGAGCCACTAGCATCTGGCTGCTACTTCCTCCTCCTTCCCCTCCTCTTCTTCCTCCTTTTCCTTCTTCTTTTGTCTATCATGGGGCTTGAACTCAGAGCCTGGGTATTGTCCCTGAGCTCTTTTTTTTGTTGTTGTTGTTGCTGTTACCAATCCTGGGGCTTGAACTCAGGACCTGGGCACTGTCCCTGAGCTCTTTCGCTCAAGGCTAGCTCTCTACCTCCCCCCCCCCCCGCCGCTCCCACCCCCCCCCCCACCTCGGTCTTGGGGTTGAACTCTGGGACTAGGCACTGTCCCTCGGCTCTTCAGCTCAAGGCTAGCACCCTACCACTTGAGCCACAGTGCCACTTCTGGCTTTTTTCTGCTTATGTGGTGCTAAGAAATCAAACCCAGGGCCTCATGCATGCAAGGTAAGCACTCTATCACTGAGCCAACTTCCCTGCCCTCTCTACCATTTTGAACCACAGCATTCTTCTGGCTTTCTGGTGGTTAATTGGAGATAAGAGTCTCACTTATTTTCCTGCCTAGGCTGGCTTTGAACTGCAATCCTCTGATTTCAGCCCTAGGGTTATAGGTGTGAGCCACCAGTGCCCAGTCTTTTTACCTTCTTTTTCTTTCTTTCTGCACGTTATCAACTTTTTATTTCTTTGTATATTGTTATTAACAAAATTAGTATGCTAAAAATATCTTCCCATTAAAAAAAAAAACCCCAAAAGCATTCCTTTATTGAACATCTTTATTCTAAAGAGTGTGTGTCCCCGTGTCCCTACACACACCCCTGCTTCTGAAGTTTGAACTCATGGTTTCATGCTTGCTCTGCTGGTGCTCTAGCTCTATTAGTTGAGCCAGGCCTCCAGACTTTTTACGTTATTTCAGAGAGGAGTTTCCACTGATTTCTGCCCAGGCTGTTTCAAAGCCAGATCTGGATCTCAGCCTCTAGAGTAATTAAGATGATAGGCATGAGGCACTGGCTCTGGGCTCAAGACTTTTTTGTTTGTTTGTCAGTCACTGGGCTTGAACTCAGGAGCTCTTTCTCTCAAGGTTAGCACTCTACCACTTGGAGCCACAGCTTCATTTCCTATTTTCTGGTGGTTCACTAGAGGTAAGAGTCTCATTAACTTTCCTGCTCAGGAGGGTTTAGAATCATAATCCTCGGTATCTCAGCCTCCTGAATAGCTAGAATTACAGCCATGAGCCACCAGATTCTCTTATTTTCACATTGCAATCAGACACAAATAAAAAAGTAGGAAAAAAAATCAGTTTATATGATGTGTAAATAAAGTATTTTCAGAGTCTATAAAGCCATGAAATACTAGTGTGATTGATAAAAAGTGGTGGGCTTAGGTTGAAGACAAAGCTGACAAAATGTATTAATGAGACTGAATTCATGAGAATATGATGGTTTCATCAATATGTTTCATTCAGAAAGGGCCTAAAGTCATATCACTATCAACTCAATTACAATTATTAGTGCTATTTACCATCAAAGCCAAAGAAATTATTTTCTTTCCTTTATACCATTTATCTGTTAAAACAATAGAACAGAAAATGGTATATGTAAATTATAACACTGGCCGGGCACCAGTGGATCATGCCTGTAAACCTAGCTACTCAGGAGGCTGAAATCTGAGGATCATGGCTCAAAGCCAGCCCCAGGCAGGAAAGTCTAGGAGACTCTTTGTTTTTATTTTTGTTTTTTTGGGGGGGCTGGTCACGGGGCTTGAATTCTGGACCTGGGCGCTGTCCCTCAGCTCTTCAGCTCAAGGCTAGCACCCTACCACTTGAGCCACAACGCCACTTCCATGGGAGACTCTTATCTGGAATTAACCACCAGAAAACTGAAAGTGGCACTGTGGCTCAAGTGGTAGAGTACTCACCTTGAGCTGAAGAGCTCAGGGACAGCACCAGGGCCCAGAGTTCAAGCCCCAGGACCAAAAAAAAAAAAAAAAAAAAAAAACCCCACTGGAATATATAAGAATAAAAGGCTATAACCTTAGCCCTGAGTGGTAGAACACCTGCTTAGCAAGCACAAGGTCCTGACTTTAAACTCTTTAAACTTCTGTACTGCTCAAAGAAAATTTTGTTTTTGTTTTTTTTGGTCCTGTCGTGGGGCCTGAACTCTGGGCCTGGGAGCTGTCCCTCAGCTCTTCAGCTCAAGGCTAGCACTCTACAACTTGAGCCACAGCGCCACTTCCGGCTTTTTTCTTTTTGCTCATGTGGTGCTGAGGAATCGAACCCAGGGCCTCAGGCATGCAAGGCAAGCGCTCTACCACTGAGCCACCTTCCCAGCCCTGCTCAAAGAAAATTTTAAAAAGAAAAAAAAAAGAATAAAGGCTAAAGGTTACATATTTATAAAAAGTGGATGCTCAGTAATTTGCTACTATTTGTTATTACTTGTCTTTGCTTGTAGAGCTGGTGAAATGAGAAAGAATATTTTGTTAACTTTTGTATCTAATCCACAATATGTAACAATCAAAAAAATCACAGCAGAAGACAATTAAAATAGTAGCAAAGGGCCTTGATACTATGTAGCAAAGATGGGAGAGGCTCAAATTCCAACACTGGAATTCCTATTACACCAAAGATTCAAAGCAATATTTACAGGCCTGACAAGAGTCCAACAAAAGAAAAACCTATAAAATCAATTTAAATGTTACATCATCGGGTAACAGACAATCTCTATTTAGTCTTTAAAGTGTATAATGGCAAATACAATACAAACAGATCCATGTAGGTTTTAGAGTGAAAATTTTAAACTTGTCTTTTTTATTATTCACCTTTTTTCTAGATTAAATACCAGACCAGATTATATTTAAACATCACCTTTAGTTTTATTAGGTGTAATGAACTCTGATGCATCATCAGGGACCTACCTAAAAAAGAAAAAAACAAACAACAAGAAAAATACTTATTAATTTACAACCGGGGATACACAGATAACAAGACTAAAAAAGCTAATGGTTTCAGGAAGGTATCTGGGGAGTCATAGAGGCCCACAGGAGCAAATCCTTGCGGTGAAAGCTCGGAAATTCTGCAGAGCCAGGAGGGAGGTGCCTGCTTTCAAATGGCTTTCATGCGGAACAGACAGCAAAATGGAGTTCAGTAGGGTGGTTCCCTTTCATTCTCTCAGTTAAGGCAAGCTAATTATTTTCTGCCTCCTTTTAAAAGTAATAAAGGGAAAAGAGAAAGTGAAAACAAGATTCAGATATGTTCCTGTTCCCCTGTAAACCCAGTATGGAAAATGTCATCAAATTTGGATTCTAAACCAAAAATGTTTTAACAACAAATATTCATCAAAATTAAGAACAGTCTTGTTTGTAAGCACACACACACACATACACACACTTACAAAATACATGTACATATTAATTAACAGTGTAAAGTTGTCATTTGAAGTAATCAGTGAAAGGCTTTGCCAACTCTGGGTAAGGTAACAGGTGAATATGAGCTATGAATTCTTCCTGTCTTACACTTACCTTTTTGTTGCTCTGACACTACCACTGTAACATTTTTAAGTTTAGTAACAAGCATAACTCTGCTAGAGCAATCTTTAAAGCCATACTCTGACCCTAACCTCTATGCACTTTCAGGGCTCAATAATGTAGTTTCTGGTCCTGGGTTAGATTTTCCAGAGGAAAGTGTATGTGTTAGTCTAGCCACTATAATCTGAGCATCCTAGAATTAAACTATAACCAATTGATGTAGCTTGATAAAAACCAAATTGTCTTTTTAGAAAGCTCCACGTGGCACAAGAAATTCTTACTACCTAATATCGTTCAGTGTGGGAAAAAAAAAAGGTTCCTTTCTCAAATTTCTCAGTAAAAGTCTCTTTTTCTTCTTCCTAAGCCTCTAGAGCCGTTTTTTGTAAAGTTGGTGTCTTAAGGCTGAAGATGGGGCCTACTCCATCCAAATGGTCTCAACGTTTAATGCTTAGGAACTCTTTGGCCTGGTTGAAATATTACATGCTTCCAGTCTTTCTTCGAACCTTAGTAACAAGAAATTACCATAAACAACATCGAATCTGGTTTTCTCAGGTTCGATTCTATCATCTTACCGAATGCCCATCAGGGAACGAGAAAAGAAAAAGGCACCACCAACAACAAAAATTCCAGAAAACTCACTGACTTTGGGTGGCAACATGGAAAACACAATCAGCTGAGCTATTCTGGATGGAACGGCAGGTTCTGCGTTTTGGGGTGCACCGTCCTTAAAAATCTATGAGGCTCTGGAGTCCTCGGGTGGTCCACGCGTAGACGGCCCTCTCCCACCACCGCAGGCCCGCAGCCGCCCGGCTCCGCCCTCCTGCTCGCCGCAGTCAGCAGCCCAGGCGCGCGCGGCCCCGCAGGCCCGGACGGGGAGGGGGCTCCGGACGCCAAGCCCGCCTCTGCGGCGGCCAGGCTGGGCCCGGAATGGCCGCGCCGGGCCGGAGGAGGGGCCCTCCCGCCCCTCCCCAGCCTCTACTTAAGAGGCTCAGGCGTCACCTCCGCCCCAGTGCGTTACTTACCTCGACTCTTAGCTTGTCGGGGACGGTAACCGGGACTCGGGGTGCCTGCTCCTGCTCCTGTCGCCTTTGCCACCAAATCCACAGTCATCATGGTAAGTGGGCTCTGCCTGCGGAAGGACGGGGGATATGCCAAGCTAGGGAGGCGCGAAGGGCACCCCCCCTACACACACCCAGCCTCACCGATCTGGGTTCAGCATGGTGCTTTAGGGTTGCAAAAGGCGCGTGGCGAGGGTCGGGGGAGCGAGGCCCAGGACTGCGGAGGATGGGAGGGGCCCAGATGAAGGGAAACGGGCCCGATTCCTCTCTCCGCTTCTAAGAGGGATGGTGGGGTGCCAGGAACTCGATATCGCCTCATTTTGGACGCAGTTAGCACACCGTGGGTGCGATGCCTGAAGACCCTTTTTTCCCCCCCCTAGCGCATGCCCTTCCCCCATCTTCCCCCTCAGCTGCTGGAGGCCACGCGCGCACGCCCCGCCCTCATTTCCTCTTGGGCGCGAAAAGCGGGGGCGGGAGAGGCCTGAGCGCATGCGCGACGGTTACTTTCCCGCGCCTGAGAGGCGGGAAACGGCCCCTGCAGTCTAGGCATGCGCGTTAAGGCTCTGCGGATTTCTGTCCGCAGGGTGTGACTCCTTTCCACTGAATTATTTTATTTTTATGTATTTAGTGAAATCAGTAAGTATAGGGATAGGATGCCTACAAGGACCACCTTACACCCTAGCCATATTAGAAAAATAACATCCCTGATCACCATTAAAGGCCATCTGTCTGTCCCTCCTGTGTTAGGAATTCGAGTGGAAGCAAGTGTTGTCAGGGAAGGGCTTTTGAGGGGATGGAAATTGGATCCTGGGCCAGATCTGGGCCGCAGATAATCCTCTGCTGCGCCTGGACAGATGTGGAGGTGCTGGGCTGAGGCCAGTGGCTGGGTGTGGGGAGGGTGGACCGCAGGAGCTCTGCAGGACTCTGCAACTGCTCGGCCCCACCCAAAGCAGGGTATGCGCTCCTCGGGCGTGACTGCTCATTCATCTTGTGCCGCAAAGCCCCACCCTTTGTCCCTGCAGCCCGACATTTTCTCTACACCGCCTTAGCCATGTGTTTCCTCTTGGAGCTGACCGGAAATATAGCCCCCTACCCAAAGTGGATTCTGGGGCCTGGAGGAATGACCTTACTAATCTTGGTCTAGCAAAAGAGGAAGCAGTGACTCAGCAGTCTCCCTAGTTTTGAAAAGAGGCTTTAAACAAAGTAGGAGTAGGAAAGAAACTAGCTATTCCTCCTTGAAAAAAAAATTTTTTTTTTCCACTGAAGATTGCATCCAGAGCCATGTGCTCTACCACTGAGCTATCTAACCCAGGCTCAAATTATTGTTACATATTTTTTGGTCTGTCATGGGGCTTGAACCTCTGGGCCTGGGAGCTGTTTCTGTGCTTTTCAGCTCAAGGCAAGCAGTCTACCACTTGATCCACAGCACCATTTCTGGTTTTCTAGTGGTTTATTGGAGGTAATGGTCTCCCAGACTTTCCTGCCGGGACTGGCTATGAACAGTGAACCTCAGATCTCAGCCTCCTCACTAGCTAGGATTATAGGTGCTACCCACCCCCCCCCCCCACTCGAATTATTTTTTTAATACAAGGAATTTGTTAGGATTAAGGTTCCATGGTGCTTTTATCTTTGTCATTCACAGATTAGATCCTAAATTTTTCTTTCATTTTTCTTTTCCACAGCGTGAGTGTATCTCCATCCACGTTGGCCAGGCTGGTGTCCAGATTGGCAATGCCTGCTGGGAGCTCTACTGCCTGGAACACGGCATCCAGCCTGATGGCCAGATGCCAAGTGACAAGACCATCGGGGGAGGAGATGACTCCTTCAACACCTTCTTCAGTGAGACAGGCGCTGGCAAGCACGTGCCCAGGGCAGTGTTTGTAGACCTGGAACCCACAGTCATTGGTGAGCTGTCCTCAGTAACTAACCCAGGGGATTTCCCAAGCTTCTGAGACAAGAGATCTGTCCAGGGGCTCCACTGATGATGGCCCAGGCTTGTGCAGGTTGTTAGTGACGGGTGGTTTGCTTTCTTCCTTTGGCAGATGAAGTTCGAACTGGCACCTACCGTCAACTTTTCCACCCTGAGCAGCTCATCACAGGCAAGGAAGATGCTGCCAATAACTATGCCCGTGGGCACTACACCATTGGCAAGGAGATCATTGACCTGGTCTTGGACCGGATCAGAAAGCTGGTATGTTTATGTCTATTCTTGAGAAGAAAGCTCATTAACAGATAGAAGAAAGACATTTGAAAAGTTGCTTTTTCAAAGAGAACTGAAATGTGATAGCAAGATGATTACTTGATTAAAATGCCTTTTCTTCATTTAAACTAGAGACTGAACTTGAGACTTCAAGATCTAAGTCCTTGGACAGATTTTTTTTTTTTTAAGATAGTATATTTACTATGACTGTAAAAAGCTATATCCCTTTGTGTTTTGCAGGCTGACCAGTGCACAGGTCTTCAGGGCTTCCTGGTCTTCCACAGCTTCGGTGGGGGAACTGGCTCTGGCTTCACCTCCCTGCTGATGGAGCGTCTCTCTGTGGACTATGGCAAGAAGTCCAAGCTGGAGTTCTCCATTTACCCCGCCCCCCAGGTGTCCACAGCTGTAGTTGAGCCCTACAACTCTATCCTCACCACCCACACCACCCTGGAGCACTCTGATTGTGCCTTCATGGTGGACAATGAGGCCATCTATGACATCTGTCGTAGAAACCTCGATATTGAGCGCCCAACCTACACTAACCTGAACCGCCTTATTAGCCAGATTGTGTCTTCCATCACAGCTTCCCTGAGGTTTGATGGGGCCCTGAATGTTGACCTGACAGAATTCCAGACCAACCTGGTGCCCTATCCCCGCATCCACTTCCCCCTGGCCACATATGCCCCTGTCATCTCTGCTGAGAAAGCCTACCATGAACAGCTTTCTGTAGCAGAGATCACCAATGCTTGCTTTGAGCCAGCCAACCAGATGGTGAAATGTGACCCTCGCCATGGTAAATACATGGCCTGCTGCCTGTTGTACCGTGGTGATGTGGTTCCCAAAGATGTTAATGCTGCCATTGCCACCATCAAGACCAAGCGCAGCATCCAGTTTGTGGATTGGTGTCCCACTGGTTTCAAGGTTGGCATCAATTACCAGCCTCCCACTGTGGTTCCTGGTGGAGACCTGGCCAAGGTGCAGCGTGCTGTGTGCATGCTGAGCAACACCACAGCCATTGCTGAGGCCTGGGCTCGCCTGGACCACAAGTTTGACCTGATGTATGCCAAGCGTGCCTTTGTCCACTGGTATGTGGGTGAGGGGATGGAGGAAGGAGAGTTTTCTGAGGCCCGTGAGGACATGGCTGCCCTAGAGAAGGATTATGAGGAGGTTGGTGTGGATTCTGTGGAAGGAGAGGGTGAGGAAGAAGGAGAGGAGTACTAATCACTCATTCCTTTGACCCTGCAGCATGTCATGCTCCCAGAACTTCAGCTTCACCATTAGCTGGCAGTCACTAAAATGTTTCTGACTAGATTCTGTTCAACTGTGATCATGTCTGTCTTTTTCCATGTGTGTAAGGTTTTAATCCATTATGTCTCAAAAGTAAAGGCTTTAAGAAATTTTATTTTGTCTCCTGTTTTAATTACGTAGTCTTGGGATTATAGGCTCCAATAAGGCCCCTCATACTTGCCTAGTTACTTCTATAGTGGAGGGAGACTATCATTACAGTCCAAATTAGTCTTAATTCAGCCATTCCATAACAAAATTGAAAAAAAGTTGTGGAAATCAGTTAATGTGCTAAGGCTGGGAATATGGCTTAGTGGTAGAGTGCTTGCCTAGCATGAATGAAGCCCTGGGTTCCATTCCTCAGTATCACATAAACAGAAAAACATGGAAGTAGAACTGGTTCAAGTGGTAGAGTGCTAGCTTTGAGCAAATGAAGCTCAGGGACAGTGCCCAGGGCCTGAACTGAAGCCCCAGGATTGGCCAAAAAAAACTAATTTGTTAGTGTTTGACCCTGGGTATTATATCTTACTTGAGCTAGAGGATAGTTTCATGGACTTTCCCGCTGGGGCTGGCTTTGACTCAGGAACTTTATAGCTCAGCCTCCTGAATAACTAATATAGGTGTGAGCCTGCTTATAACTGTTCATAGGGTCCTAGCATCAAATCTGAAAGTTATCCTTCAACTGAAAAGCAGGTAAGGAGCTATTTTGAGGGTGATATAAAGGTCATGTGTCCAAGGTGGGAAAGCTGCAGAACCAATCAAGTCCTGCTAGAAAAGAACCAAACTGGAAAAAGTCCTAAGCATTGATAGAGCCAAAAGGGACATTGTAGCTTTTAGCAACATACTAGAATATAGGGGTTACAATTTGTAACACTTGTTTACATTGTTTAAGGCATATAGTTTGGTTATATCTAAAGGACTTCTGCCTTAGGTATGAACTTAGTCTTGGGTAGTATGTTTCAGGGCCTGGATACAAGGTCTGGCACTACAAAGAGAAAAGGACAATGCAAACAGGATCTAGCCAGGGAAATACTCGCATTTCAATTTCAAAAAGTGCAGAGATAAAGCTACTGAGGATAAATATGAATTAAGTAATTCTTTTTCCCTAATGTGTTGTATTTGTGAAATAGACTCAACCGAAGATTCTGGGCACACTAGAGAAAATCTGGTGGGTGGTGCTACAATCATACCACAAGCAACCAAGGCTACAGGGGAAGGTCAACTTTATTGTTAGCTAGTTAAAATGTTCTTGAAAAAGCCGGGCGCTGGTGGCCCATGCCTGTAATCCTAGCTACTCAGCAGGCTGAGATCTGAGGATCGAGGTTCAAAGCCAGCCCGGGCAGGAGAGACTGAGACTCCTATCTCCAATAAACCACCAGAAAACC